GCAGTTGTTTTTAATTGAGACCTATCGTCATCGAAAAACTAAAAGTGTGCTTTCGTGTTTGTACATTGGTCTGCCATCACGCCATCTTAGAACGCAAAACCTCACATTAACCTTCTAGTGCCCTCGGTCACTCGTCACACCGGAGTGCGTGAAACTCTGAGGTTGTGCGGAGAAGCACTGAATCCGAAGATCTGAAAATCGATTCCTTATGGAAACTCAGAGTTTTTCCTTTTCCTACGTTTGTGATAAGACGAAAGCGTTTTCAGAGACATCCATGTTTTAGCTAAACCATTTCACAGGATAAGCTTCATAATATTATAATCATACAATATATACTAAATTATGCGCGCGTTTTGATCTGTTGTTACTTAGAGGACAGACGCATATATAACTTCACCATTAACAATATTTTGCTTTTTTATCACATAAAACAAATGGATTCCATGTTGCTGTGGATCTGCAAAGTAACAGATCACAAAAGACGTCAAAATGTGGTGAGAACATCACTAACATACTCGGCTGCGCCTCGTGTGTCAATTTTTTTTGTTCTTACCACATTTTAACGTCATCTGTGATCCATTACAGAACAGACACTCGATAACATGGAATTAATTTGTTTTTTAGACAGTCATCCTGAGAGATCGTGAGAATCTCGGCTCCAATAACTGATGAATATTGGCAACTCTAAGAATCTTTTAGTAGAAGTAATAATCAAGAGACTTGTTATGACCGCAAGGCATAACACCTTTGTCATGAACAAACAAAGTAGAGTAGATTCATGCGAAACAATAATATAGGATAGCATATAAAATAACAGAATCCGCGCTTTAACAAGACAGCTTGTCAGGACTGAAGAAGATCAGAAAATGTTATTTATGAAACACAAATAACAAAGACTTCGAAAACAATGAATCATGTTCAGTATTCAGTGCTCACGTTTGAAACATAATGTTCTCCAGAACCTGTGAACTGAGTTTCATGAGCGAAGGATACTTCTGACTGTCAGGGGACAAATTTTTACATAATAAAGTTTTTCATACTGAGCAGAAAAAGTTCTTCAAGAAATGATTCCACGTAGCTTTCTATTATCATTGTGATCTAAAGTTGGATTCGTCTTGCTGCGAGCATCATGGAACTCACCCCAGCCCCCAAGGCTGTATCGAGGTTATATCAGAAGTCGCAAAGAGTACTTCTTTGCCCTCCCCCCTCATAAGGCTATGTAATATTTTTGTAATCCCCTGTAATTGGTTAATTGGCCGTCAATTTTACGTAGTCCCTCCTTTATTTTCTGTTGACTGATCCTCCCTTTGTTCTCCTTAAAACTATGCACCCATCCCCTCTCCTCAAAAAAAAATTCCTCCGATCTTCCCCCCCCTCCCCTTCAGGCAATGAATTATGTCTCATTTCTAATCTAGTTTGGTCAAGGTCTGTATCATTTTTGAGTCCTGATGGCCTTTGTCGCCGTACTTGTCAGGTCGAAATTAATCCTTTAAGGCTAAAGAGTATCAAAATTAATCGACGAGTACATTTATTTTCTTCTCAGTCACGAGAAAGTGTTAACTCTTGGAACAATGAAACAGCCCCCGTTTTTTCATTCCAACAGCGCAACGGCGGACCATGGAGACTTGCTTTGAAAAGAAATTATAATTTGATAGATACCATCAATTAGTCACAACATAATTACGTTTTCTCAGAGTTTGTCTTAAACATATCGTATTTCTCTCGACGAAGGCTTACCCATGATGAACGAAAACAAAGTATTATAAACAACAGAACATTTATCTAAGAGTTTTAATAACACTAGCCTTCGTCAGCTGCCTGAATTTTAAAATAATCTATAAACCCTCTTGAAATGGGAGACATGACATGAAAAAGTTTTAAATGATTTCTTAGTCACTCGAAAGTAAACTGTTCAAACGAGGCTGTTAATCGAAGCCATGTCCGTTATGTAATGCCCTGTTCGCACCAACAAAACATGCTTAGTCAATCCAGGTGTCCCTGAACAAAATTCAACATTAGAAAACTGAAAAGCTGAATTTCACGAAGGGTTTAAGTTCTCATTAACGTTCATTTTTATTGTACCAAATTTGGAGTCGAAAAATGGGGTACAAGTCTATGAAGGAAGCACGACAGCTGTTTGCAAACGTCTACGCTTGGGGCAATATAACACGTGTTTTGAGTCCTGCAGGACCTTACTTCAAGCAACTGCGTTTAACAAAACCCAGCTTCCGCTCAAATGAGCAAACTTGGTGTGACGACTGGCATGGATTTGATTTTATAAACCGACAAGTAATTGTCATCGAGCGAAAGCAGAACCGTCTGTCAGCTTCTTATGGTTTGATTTGATTCAGAAGTAGTTTGTACGTGCACATATGGCCGACAGAATTTCCTCTTTGGCATCCTGTCACACTAAACTCCTAGAAACATTACTGTATACAGAGAAACTTTAAAGAGCAAGTAACTGCACGAAACAGAGAAATACTAGCTCTGAAAAAGACTAATTTCAAGTGGTGAAGTCTTTTTTTTTTTTTTAAGGAAAAAAAAAAAAAAGAGCGTAAGTAGCCTTCCTCGAGGCAGCGCAAGCCTCGAAGTTTCATTGGTTGGCACCAAGTTAGCTTTGATTTTCAGTGAATCTCCTATTTCCTCCCATTTTGATTTTACTCATGCGAGACCAGAGACCAGGTCGTGTGCAGCTGATACAAGTCATGACTTCAGTATATCAAGCTGAAATTCTATGTCAGATAAGTTACAGCTGCGAAGAGATTATACGCTGTAACCTCAGGAGCCTCGTAATCCTTAAGGTAATTATCTTAAGAAAGATAATCACGGGATAACGCTACCTGCAGAAAGATCGTTTGACAGAGAACAGGGAAGAAATCCCTCATGAAAGGTCTAATGTTTCTTAAAACGCCTAAAGGGCAAACATGTAGAAATAATTATTACAATTCCACATAGCTTCAGTTAAAGACATTCCTGTATTGTATCAGATGATTCTTGAAATATTGACTCGAGTTGTGGAAATGGACTTCGCTTGAGATCACAGTCTAAAAACTCCTCTTTTCAATCAATAGTTGATAATATGAACGATAAATTGGCGTTGTGGAGACAATCTTATCGCGACTTATATAGCTATACTCAATTCATAGCTTGTCATGTCTTGTTATCATTACAGTTTTATAACTTTCAAGAACGATTGCCGCAAGAATAATATGATCTACTGACAATTTGACTTATCGCGCGCGAAATTAAGCCCCCCTGCTATTTTATGCTTGCGGTTTACTGAGATGTCAGTTCAGCGCTTCTAATAATTAATAAAAACAATCACGTTTTCCGTTCCTTTAAAGTGCTTAAAAAAATGAATTTAAAGAAGCGAGGAGTCTTTATTTTTATCCGATGCTCAATTAGAACAAGGAAAACCGACTTAGTGTCTCAAGTTGCCATCGAGGAGAACAAACGGAAGATGTCCGCATTACACTGAGACACGAGTAGACATTCATGATTGGGTCAAAGAAATATTCTGTTGACAGAGTTTAGCACGCAAAATAGGTTGTTCTTAATGTTTTTCCGAAGTCAGCAATGTTAGTGTTCATAATGCTTGGCAATGTGGGACTTTTTAAAACGCTTTCCTATTCTAAAACATACTACAAGTAGTGAAATTTCGAAATCACTTATTATACAGCTTACCTCTGCATTGGCAGCGATTCACAAGCCTGAATCCTCTTCTACAGATACAACGAATTCCTCCCAGAGTGTTTATACATCCATGCTGGCAACAAGATCCGTCGAATCCTAAACATTCCACCAAGACGTAAAGAATTACCACAAGCCTTATGACGCTCTTACGAAGAGAATTCATCTTTCCACCAGTTTTGTGCCAAAGTTTAGGGCTAAGTGGTTACCGAATCAATGTAACCGACAAGTGTGTTGTAGCTGTCTTCTCTAGACACGCAAGCCGGAAATCGACAGATGCCCTAAATAGATTCATCAGATGAATGCTTACTTCTGAAACCTTAGCCCTCTTTTAAACTAAACAGACCCGACAATTGTCAGCTTCGTGTACAAAAAACATAAACACTGCAACACCCCTTTGAAGTGCACCGATTTGCGCCAAACAGCCTCAGTTTACGGAAATCGATGTATTTTAAAAGTAATTCTTTTTTCTAGCGGGTTCAGGCTGCCGCAAATGTGTCTTGCAAATGCATCACGATCATCCCTGGCGCTAATTGACGATTTAAACTTTGACTGACTGAAGTCTTTGAAGTTTTCAAACACCGCGTAATGAAGAAAGAACTACCCGCAGGTTTATGCAATTTGTCCGACACTGAAAATATTTTCTCCACATGACAGACTTCCGTAAGGGAACCGAAACGCAATATCCATCGACAGCACAAGAGAGCTGTATCCATGTTCTCACCCCAGCTTATTTACCCGCTGCCGAGGTGAGTGGGGGAGAGGGGTGGTGCGGCGGATGTTTCTAGATCATTTACTGATCAAACTGAATGGATTCCCCAAGGAGGGCTCTCTTTGTATCCTTGTGATTAACCCTTTAACTCCCATGAGTGACCAAGAAAGAATTTCTCCTTACAATATCAATGCAATATCAACCAGATAAGTGATGAGAATAAAGAAACTATCAATTTAGGGATAATTAGTTGATCCAATGCTAAATTCTCTGAACTAACATTATAAGAATTGTGTGGTTGACAGTAAGGAGAATGACAAATTTGATCTGGGAGTTAAAGGGTTAAGTTATTGGGAATAGACCAGGGATTCTTTATCTCTAGAAAAAAGAGGGGGGAGGGGTGGTGTAGGAGGATTTGAGGAGGATCACTTGGTGTTTAGGGGGAGCGAGAGGGGATCAGTCGGCGTTAAGAGAGTACAAAGGAGGCCACAATTGAAAATTGACCGCCAATCAAAATATTGATGTTAAAGACAAATACTACAACCGTAGGTAATAATGTTTCCCAGATCGATATACCAACCAGCGACTTTGCCAAAACTTAATTTCTTGCATCCTTACGACCTTCTATGGCAACTTGCAGAATTTTGAAGGCGTATTCTGTGGAGAGGGCGCCAAAAATGTGAAGAAAATGATGGCTGCTTCCTATGATATCGAATTTTCCTGGCAAGAGTCGTTCCATAAATCAACTCGCCCACGATTGAGTAAAAGCAGCGACATCAAAAGTATGTGATTAGCAGCTCATTACGGGCGATGAAGGATTGGCATGTCGTAACAGCGTGACAGCTGTTTATAGTCACGCCAACTGCAAGAGATAACAGTGTCCTACCAGCCAACGAACACTGGAATTATGCGGATCGCCGAGCCGTGCTATACTCTAGCAGAATAAGAAAGTTGTCAGGAAAGACAAACTGGCACCGATGATCGTGTAAAACAATGCAGATTCGAAAATTCTCCATCCGGTTCGGGTGGGTCGATTGTCGAAGAACATCACTTGACCGGAGGTGTAGGTGTAGATTCTAATATCGGCATAGTCAGAGAAGTAGAAAACTCTGTGCAACTTTTCCGACTATGAGTTAAATGTATGAGCTGTAGCACTCAACGCGCAGATTGTGATGCTCCGGATAGCCGATGGTAACATTGGGTAATAAAAGTCTTGTTTCGGCGAGGGCAAACTTCCTAACTCAATACTCAAGACCACGGAATACTGCACGATAAAATAAAAACACACCACGATATGGCTCCACATATTAAAAGCCTCATTATTAATGTAGAAAAGGCTTTGTAACATTCCCAGGTGCTGCTGTAAGGCTTCCGATACCGCTAATAACGAAGGCTCTTTGGAAATTAGAATTCTAAAGTGCGGTAACATTGTTAAACTCAGAAGTGTACATGTTGTTGGAACACAGAAAGACGCAGAACGAAGAAGCAGAAGAAGAGCAAAAACTGTCGGAAGATTTCATGAAAACCCTTAACTACACACAGACGTTTGGTCGATATAAAAACAGAGAAACCATCGCTCAAGTTAGAAAACCCTTAACTACACACAGAAGTTTGGTCTATATAAAAACAGAGAAACTATCGCTCAAGTTAGAAGGTAACAGAATGAAATTAATTCAGTGCTGATATAAGTACAAAGAAACCTCAGAGTAAGAAAATACTTAACCCTTTAACCACCATGGTCTTATTGTTAATTCTCCCCTCTAGCCGTTACACATTTCCTTTTAAATTAATTTCGAGAATTTGGTGTTAGATCAAGATTTATAACATCTACCTGATAAGTTTTGAGTATCCTCATTACCTGTTTGCTTGATAATGTATGGATGGTATAGGGAGAAGTTACATTTTAATCACTTGTGGGAGTTTAAGGGCCAGAAAAAAGATCTTTCCATGACATGCTGGCCAATTCTATAAGTAAAATAAAAGAGTGTTATGCTTGTAAATCAAAGACAATCTTCTCAGACATTAAGAGCAACTGATCAGTGATGCTTGACTGATCAAGACTATTTGTGCATTAGAGGTGTGTAATGAAGGAGATTTTAGTTAATATAATAAGCTGAATTTTACACGCATTTGATTGGTTCTTTCTTATGATCTATTATTAACAACATCTTGCTTTTCTATCATATAAAACAGAGAGATTCCATGTTGCCATGGCTCTGTTAAGTAGTAGGTCACAGAACACATCAAAACATAATAACATCAGTGATATTCTGTTGTGCTTCATGAGCCACTTTTTTTTTCTTATCACATTTTGATGTCATCTGTGATCTTTCACTGAACAGATGCACAGGAAAATGGAAACTATTTTTTCTAAACAGAGTAGTGACCTCTGTAAAACAACCACCTTCTCTCATCTGCCAGTTAGTTTTACCCCAGACTGATTGTTGCGATGAAGTTCAACCTTATTTTCAGTTTCTGACAATCCAAACCTCTTGTTATAGTTTGCTAGGCAAGAAGAAACTTCACAAGTTTGAACTGGCCTGTTTGGCTAATTTATGTCCTGAAACAGCAGAAGAAGCTAAGGCCTTGATTCCAAGGTGAGTGTTTACCTTTCAGACCCTAGCATCAGTATGCATGTTCTCCATACTGTTTTTTATACATTGTCTGTGGAATTAACAAGGAGAATTTGTTTAACAGTCAAATGTTTGTTTGGTGAGGGATCAATTGCCTTTTTCTTTACACCTAATGTTGTTATTCGGCAGTGATACTGCAAAGAGAAATTAGATGCCAGTCATTCCTAGGAATAGATGTTTAACCCTTTAACTCCCATGAATGACCAAGACAGAATTTCTCCTTACAATCTCAATACATTATCAAGCAGACAAGTGGAGAGAATAAAGAAAAATATCAATTAGGGGATTATTAGTTGACCCAAACACAAATTCTCCCTAACTAACATTACAAGAATTGTACTGGAGACAGTAAGGAGAATTTCTTATGAGATATCGGGAGTGAAAGGGTTTAAAATCCTTGTTTCACTGCATACACATTGCTCGCATTTTTCCCTAACCCTAAAGGGCTTGGGAAAATACTATGCAACTGGTAAAATATCCCCCCCCCATAGTGTTTTTTAAACGGGTCAAATACGGTGTATTAAAACCCATCGCCTATGAGGATAAGCACTTGCTCAATTTGTTACAGAAAGCTTTCTTATCTAAACTCTCTTTTTCAGCTTGGAGGGAAGGTTTGATGATGATGACCTTCAGCAACTACAGGACGACATTCAGACACATAGAAGTTTCCAGTACTAGCCAGATATATGGTGGTTTGATGTGAGGCAAGTGATGCAAGTCCTGCTTTGGATGTCAGAAGACAGTCCCAACATTTGATATTTTATTTGTTATAAACTAAGGAAGTGTATATTTTGTAGATCAGACAGGGGGGTGAAGTCATTATGACTTACTTTATTGATCTTGCTCTAAACCACAAGAAAGCAGACGGAAAGATGTTGTTTCATTTGACTTATGCGCGCACACACACACAATCAGATCATCTCTCCTGAGGTACGACAAAGTGCAAGTTTGTAACTTGCAGTATGAATGATAATCTTTTCATTATTGTTGAGTCATATTACTCTTTGGGTAATATAGTATTATCAGTTGATAACATAAATTGGCCACCGTAAAGAGTTTGAAAGCTGACGTTTCGAGCGTTAGCCCTTTGTCAGAGCGAAGGACTTGGGGCTAACGCTGAAAACGTCAGCTTCCAAACTCTTTACGGTGGTCAATTTACGTTATCAACTCTGTTGCTGATACTATATTACCCTGTTATACTCTCCCACTGACGCAGCACCAAAGCATGGAAAACAGATAAAAAAGTTGATCTCAGCTTTTTGAAGCCATATGTTTTCCGTTGTATTAAATGGAGAGTTCTGCAGAGTCGCATCATACAATCATGATTGTAATGAAAGGTTCTTAAAAATTCTGCAAAATGAACCACAAATATATTATCACTTGAAGAAGTGTGTTTTATTGTCATAAGTCGAAGGAATAGTTTCTTTGCTAAACACGTATTTTATCTTATATTCTTCCAATTTACATCCGCGAGACCTTTTGGCGCGTACTGCTGTTGCGGAGGACTGGGTATAGGTATTTTCCAACCATCGTTCAGAGCATTGTTGGCCGACATGATAGCACCCTCAGAGTACCCCCGATAGGGATGATACGCGCTACCAATAACGTAGATCTCCTCTCCTGCAATAGGTCTCTTTGCCCATTGGGTGACTTGCTTCATGGAAACGTGGCTTCCAGGTTTCTGTAAGTACCTTGAAATAAAGAAAGCGTATTCGGGATGGTCTGGGAGACTTGTTTTTATGACAGAACTGGAGTCGAAGTAGAAATTTTCCTTTTTAACCCAGTGTAAGATTTCACAGTTCTTTTATGAGTGTCCAGAATAATCCACATTTACATTAGTTTTGGTTGACTTCACCTTATGATTGGTCGGAAAAAAACTTGTGTCACACATTCACAACCAATGGCGACCTGATTAATAATCTTTTCCTGACTCAGGAAATTCACTCATTACAACATTGAGTTTCATCGGCTCGTTTCATTCTTTTCCTTGGCTCTGATTGGTCATTGAAATAGCTTTTGTCTGTTTTCACGACACTCAATCAAAAGAAGAGATAGGTAGTCTGACGCAATGACAAGAGGGAAAAGAACACACTTCAAATGCACGACAGGATTGCTAGGTAATTGTTAATTTAAAGTACTACCCTTTTCAGTAATGATTACAATGGCTGGCCTTCAGAGAGAATTCTCTTACCATGCACCTTCGTTCCAATACTGATACACTGTGCTCAGAGGTTTGGGGATTTTTCTGTTAAACTTGTATTCCAAGGCGCGGTGAATTTCTCGGTCCATAACGTCTTTTGGTAATTTGAGGATCTCGCCCCATTTTTCGCCACAAACACCGTCCGTGTAAGCTACGTGAAGAACTGCCTCGCCATTTCGACCGCTCCCGCTGGTAATAAACGAGACAATTATTGAAAAGATAGGAATTTTTAAACTCGGTATTAAAATTAATAGAAAAAAGATAGCTTTTTCGCCTTGTCACAAGGCTGGAACCCATGAGGAATCGAACCCCAAACCTTTGGAAAAGAGGAAAAAAATGATTATGTTGTATCGCTTTAGAAACAAAATTATTCTAGACCGATAGAAAGCAGGGAAGTTTGCATTTTAATAAAAACCGCTCTAATTAGAGATTGTTTTACGTTAGTTACACGAATGGTAGTCGTAAAATTTAGAAAGCTAACTATTTCTCTTTTCCAATTACTTTTTTTTTCTTTTTTTTTTTTACGGAGCTTTGATATATATTGATGAGAATATACAGGTGTATCTTGTCAACAAGCCCCACCTATGTGGTAACGTCCATCCAAGACAATCACTGTTGGATAAAAATCTCTCCATAGGGTACAACTTGTCCTTCACATTCGTGATTTCTTCCCACCACGCCGTGGGGTACACTGCAGCCCCCTTAAATGCTGGGCGGGGTAGGATGGACTGAAATTCTGGTGCACGCTGAATCTGTTCCGCTACGCTGCCGCTGACACTTCCAAACGCACCCGGAGGAGCAGCCACAACTAATTTCCCAACGCTTACTTCGTATTGTGAAGTTTTAAGGGCGAACTGGTTTGTTTGTTTGTCTATTGATAGAATCTTGTGGTTATCACCCGTGAAAATTTTTGTGCCCAGACCTCTTGCCGATTTGGCCAAAGCCTCGATGAATGCCGACATCCCTCTTAAAGGACGAATCTCTTTTCCTGTAAGTGCAGCTAGTTGTTCGTAGAATTCTACCACGCCTTCTGGACTACCGTCAAGGTCTCCATCATACCCAAAAACGTCGAAATAAAACCTGGAACCTTCAGGTGTTAAATAGTGCTTCTGGAATGTTTCGAACGTTGCGAAATTGTGGACTTTATCGACATGTTCTTTTCTGAGTAGATAGTCCAACATTTGCGAACAAGTCATGTCTTTGAATTTTCCTTGAGTTAGAGCCGGGAATGATTTTCTTTTGATTTCATGCTCGTCCCGTGCGAAGAAACCTCTAGTTTCTGTTCGAGGATTTGAGTAAAAGTTCCAGTCTTTGTGAGGAATGTTTAGTCTGTTGAGGATATTCCTATGAAACAAAAAATTTTGTGCACAATTGAAATTCAAATCGTCTCAATTGCACTACTAGCAAGTTGAACCCAAGAAAGAGAAAAAAAATTTAAGACTGTCCACGAGCTAAGTGGTCAACCAGCCGGAGCTTATTCCAGTTTCCATAGTGTTATGGCATAATCTAACCCACGGGAAATACTACCATTCCACAAACTCAACTACTTTATTAAACAGCAAATAATTTTCTTAACAAGGAGCAGTTCCCAAAACCAGTACAATACTTATCGTTCATAACCTTCATTAAGCCCACCACAGTCTATATCCCAGCTCACCACTGGCACAATCTCACTGGTGTCTCCAAAGTTACCGGCCTTGGAATGAGCAATCTTCCGCAGTAACTCTCTCTCGGTACAGCTTTCAAAACAGTCGTCGCTCCGACAACAACAACTCCTACTACTTTTACGTAAGTGAGTCTTTATATTTATTTACAAAGTGTTCTGGAGCATTCTAGAGGCTCACATAAAAACTATTTTAGTAGTATTACTTAACAATTGCGTGACTTGATGAAATGTTTTAGAAAGTGCTTTGGTATGAAAGTCAGCATGACTCAGCAGTCTGGAGATTTCTAAAGGCTTACATTTACAACAATTGCTCATAACAATAGAATGAGGCGACTAGCAGTATAAGTACTCCCCCCTGGAGCAGTATAAGTACTCCCCCCTCTCCCCCGACATTCCATCAGGCCTCCTGGCCCGACATATCGCCGTTACCCGTTCATACTCTTGGGTTAAAAGAGGCACAGTTAGGGTAAAGTATTTTACCCAAGAATACACCACATTGACCCGGCGAGGGGTCTGAACCGGACTCTAACCTTTATAGAAAGAACAATACATGGGCGCGCGTAGATATGGAATTTCTCTTCGAGTGTTCAACTCGATAGCTCACGGTTGAGCGGAGCGAAAGAGTAAGATATCGAGTTGAACATGAAAAGATAAATTTCATATCTTCAAGTGACCATGCATTATTTTGTATATTGTATAGACACAATAGCCCTTTAATAGTCCAAAAAATGAAAAGTCGACTTTATATTGAATGAAAAAAGCAGGATACGCAATCCACGAAAAGAAATCCGCATAAAGCACGTTGGAAAATTCTTGTATAACACCTTAGTTTATTGGGTAATTCGTTTTATTGCACCGCCAGCAACTTGTACCAAAACAAGAAAAGATACTCCTGAAACTAATTCACGCCTACCTCATGTTGTAGTGAGCCATATCGATTCTCCATGCTCCGAGACCTGAAGATAAAGCCAAAATGTTGAAGCATCATAGCATATATGTAATATAACTATTCTCAAAACAGCACGCGCAGTTTTAGACTTCAATCGATAACGTGCCGGATCTACGGGACGCAAATTCGATAATCGATTCCTCTAAGGGGACTATGTTTTTTTTTCGTTCTATGCTTGACATAATGAATAAAATCAACGTTCTATGATATACTTTCAATTGCGATGCAAGATTTCTTTTCCCCTGGCATCTTCTACCTATTTTTTGACACAGGAAAGAGAGGCTTTTTGGTTTGATTTATCAGCTGAAAAGTTTGCAGTCAAATGTGCACACAACTCCATATATTGAACAAGGTTGTGCTTAGTCTCTGAATCGTATTTACCTCCATATCAACCTACACTAGCTAATCAGTTGAAGGACAAGTCCGCTCTAAACCTTACATAGACTGAACAATACAGATTAATTTTTAATTGACAATGGCACCTTATTAATGTAACCGCACATTCACCGAATTCGGCTCACTTCTCATTGGACGATATTTTTGGATGAGAACACAAGCTCCGGCGGAAAATTTGGTCAAGTACAAGAATTATACGCTTTACTGACAGTATTTCTTCATCGGAAGAAAAGAAAAACGGTAATGCGTGAAACCTTCAAGCGAAACCATGAGCGAATCTATATAAGAAGGAGACTCTTTTTCACCAGAAAACTGGTTTTGTACTTAGTCTCATTTTGAAAGCGAGCCCGCTCAGATATGTCAAACAAGCCTCGACTTGATGTATTCGACCCCAGTTCTCCCGAGTCGAGTGCATTGGCTCACTTTATCATCACACTTACCTACTACTTCATCTGGCACTTGAGGAAATACATAATCAAAGATTCTT